ACATTTTTCTGTAACCTAGGTAAGAAGGTGCTAACCTTGTGTCCCTTTGCCCACATATTTCACCAACCTGGAACATCAGTACTCATTGTTCTGATAGTACTGTGTGCTTTGAAGATGTCTTCAAACCTGCCACTTTCAGAAAGGCTTTCTCAGGCTAGTTGTCACACACTGAATTCTTTTGGATCCCTCAGGGCTTTCTTACCCAACACAGTTACAATGAACAGAGTTCTGCTCACGGAGTCAGAACACTGGGTTGGGAGCCTGGCTCTGTCACTTCCTAAATACCTAATCTTGCCCAAATCACTTTACTTTTGTTAAGATTTGAGTTGCCTATGATGTTAAATAGGAAAAATGTTCACTAAAATTTGTGGTAACATAGACTTTTAAATGAACTAAAATATCCTATATAAACATTGAACGCACTAAGCAAATGAATCATGACTAAGGCACTTACCTTTGCTTCAGTTACTACTGGTACCTATAAAAGTTAAATGTGTTTCTAAGTTCTTTTCAAATGAAGAGAACTGCTGCTGTGTGTGTAATGTGTTGCTATTTTATATCTTTGATTCTCTTACTGTTTCATGCAGGTATTTTTGTCTTAGTCACCAAAATGCACAAGCTCGGGAGTTTGCTGCAGACTGAGTAAGCCAAACAGTCCTTTTGCTGCACCTGGTTGCCTCAACTCCTAATAGGAGCAGCAGCAAAAATTGTACCTGTTTTTTTTAAATTCATGTATTATAAGCACCTTAATTTTATAAAGTCTAAAAAAATGTGGATTTGGGGTTTATCTTCTTACTATCTTTTCTGACCCCTTCTTAAGAATTTGAAGTTATCCTTCATTTTGCGTTATTAGTATTTGTCTGCCATCTAGTGATCCAAACAGTAACTGCGAGATTAGTAGGCTCATCGGTGCCTCTGGGGAATGATTTTCTCCATTTCTTCAGCCTGATGCACTTTCAGGAAATTATTGGATGTAGACTTGCATCTTGAGGTCTCCTTAGATACTGAGTCCTATGGTTTTTTGACTGAGTCTTTGTGCCATGTGATTTTCTGTTAATGTTTTGTTATGGTTTTAATTTCATATAAAATGCTTTTCGTCTTATTTTCACTGGTGTTTATTTCATTCACTGTCTAGCTTAGGGTCAGCTTCTCTAGTAGCATCTTCCTCAGTAATTTTCATTCCATATTAATGAGTTTGTTTAATTAATTTATTATTTTCCCGCCTGCATAGCAAGCAACCTTTGTCATATGTTTACTTTGTGAATTTTCAAGTATATTAAATGGATGCTTTATATTTTCATGAAGCAAAAGTTTACAGTTATATGTAATCAGAACTTAGAGTCTGAAGAAATGTGGCATCCAGTTCTTTATCTCATTTTTAATCATTTGTATCAAAATGATGTAAAACTGTTACTTCATTTTGTATGAAGAGTTTTGTATAAAATATCTTATTTTGTGTAATGCTGAGTCTGCAGAAAATTACTGACTGCAAAGTCTTTATGTGACCATGAACTAATGTTACCCCCACTGCACTAGGGGTTTGTACCTCATAGATTTCTATACCTTCTGATTTGATCTCAGAATATGCCATTGTCTATAGTATGTAATTATAATTATGTATTGTTAATAACACTGTTTTGCTGACTTTTACATTATTAGAAATGTTTCCATTTGATATTGTGATTAGTTTTATGTAATTATTGTATATTAGGAATCTTCTACACAAATTTTCATCTGTGCTGACAAGATTAAATTCAGTTATAATCATACAATGAGGAATAAGAAGATTTTTCCTATAATGCTTTATTGTGTTTAGTACTTTCGCACTTTTACTCTGTATTTTTAAAATACCTTGAGAGGGAAATGTCCCCCTCAAGGGGAATATCACTTTAATTTCTCGGCTGTGCCTCACTACGTGGATACAGCAGCACAATGCAGTGAGTGGTTAATGGATGTTACAGGATGCGGAGATGCTAAGAACTGAAATACAGCTGAGACCTAACTGCTGCCTTACTTGAAGGTGTGCAGCCCCGTTTTCAGTAGGTTCTCAATAAATATTTGAGTAAATGGCTTTTTGTTGGTCTCCACTATCTGGACTTGAGAGTCTGGGACCTGTCTCTTGTCTACTGCCTCACCTCCACTACAACTTCTCAACTCCCGCACTTTACCAGTACATCTCTAATTTCTTCTGTATCTTTTTACCTGTTATGAATTAGAATCTAACCAGTTTTTGCCTTCTTGATGTGTTTCTGCCATCTAGTGATGAAAGGAGTAACTGCAATATTTAATAGGCTTAAAGAATACAATACTGTACACTAACCCAAGTTCTAATCCACAGCACACCAGTAGTTGTCATTAATTCACTAGTATTTTTCTTGATTGTCCCACCCAAAGAATTTTGTGCATATTATTAACCCTTCTAAACTGTTCCTTATCACCTACCAGACTTCCATAGTTCAACTTGAACATCTTTCAGAAAGACTTATTTTGACCTCTCAGACTAGATCAAATTTCTATTACATGCCTTCGTAGAAGTCATAGTTTAGTATAAGTTAATGTAAACCATAGTATTCATGATTATTTGTATGATGATGCAATATAATTCATGTCTGATTTAGTAAAATATAACATGGATGAGGGCAAGACCGTTCTGCTCTCGGTCATCACTATATCCAGGCATATAGCACAATCCCTGCACGTGGAAGGTAATTCTTTAATCTTTGTGGATGATTGTAATACTGTTCTGTGTCCCAGGTACACTGAAAATGCTTTTGTCAGTTAGTTTCTGTCACTTAAGAGCAGAGGCATAAAGCAGCGGCGGAGGAAGGATCTGTCCTGTAGATCCTAGAAATGTGCATATTCTTTATAGGTGCAATAAATGAAGGTGATTATCTGGAGTGGGAGATCACAATCAGAAGACAGAAAGTTATTCCTCTTTGGTGTCAATGATTGAAGTCTCAAAATTCAGTTTACTGTCTCTCATCCAGAATGCCATCTCATATTATCCAGGTCCGTAGCACCCAAATGCTGTACTTTAAATACCATTTCTCACTTGGAGAAATCAGGCTCTTTCCTGAAATCATGTTAAAGAACATAAGAACCAACTGGAAGGGGCAACCATTGATCAAATGGGATAATTCTTTCAAGTTTTGTTTTGAAAGCTTTCAACTATATGTAGCACGGAGAAGCATATAGAAGTACCTGTGGGTCTCTTATATGGTATCAGTCATAGTTGGACAGGGCCACTATTGAATTAATTCAACTATTGAATGAATTTTGAAATAGAAACCCAACAGCATACGATTTAATCTGAGTCTTATAGGGTATATCTCTAAAAGATGGAAACTTTGTAAATTAAAAGTGTGGTATATTTAAAAGATGAGGCAGTTTGAACATCCAGGTAGTAATAACTTGATATGTTATACATAAATCTTGATATTATTTTGAAAACAAATGCCTTACCTATAGTGATTGTTAGGACAGTACCTAATTGCTTTCAAAATTATCAAATAAAAGGAAACAATGGCTTATCATTTTTTCCCATTACATGTTGTAGTTTAGGCTAACCAAGTAGCTAAAATAAAGTTCTTCTTTCTAAAATGTCAACAGATAGAGAAGGAATGCTCCAGAAAAGCCTCACTCTGCAGCTTTAATAATGTAGTAGATTTAGCCAGTGTTGATAATAAAATAGTCATGGCAAACCTTTTAGAAACCAAGAACCCAAACCACAACTAGAGCCCATGTATTTATTGCAAAGTGCTAACACTGCAATAAAACCTGAATACTAAGGTTTTACTTTAGGAAAAAAAACACAATCGTTTGTCTTAACAGAAAAACAATAACAATGTTCGATGATACAAATAGCCCACAATGGTCCATGTGCTATAGATTCATGTGTATGATACATGTGCTAAGACACCAAAACTGTCATAAGATATTACCAAATGAATAGTTGGTGAAGAAATTTATAGTAGATAGATTGGCAAAACCTCACCTGGAGCCATCGATTAACCTTAATACTAACAAAAATTAGATATCTAAACATTGTATGTCTACTGATGGAACTACTAGAAAGCATGTATCACCATTCCACACCATATTCTTGCCAAAGACAAGCAGAAATCCAGTGTAACTAAAACTCTAGTTGTAACCTTCAACTTATAGGCAGTGAGAAAGGAATATATCATGTTCATACCACAAGATACAAATGTCAAAAAGGAGGGGAAGTGTAACTGAGTCCTCTAAAAGACACTAGAGAGAAGTGTCCATCAGGTACAGTAGTAATTTTGTTGAGATTCTGATCTGAAGAAAAAACAAACAAACTGAAACACTTGTGGAGTAATAAAGGGATGCCAATATGGCCTGGGTAATGGAAGATTTAAAATTATTAATTCTCTAGGCAGAATAATGATATTTTGGTTATGTTAAAATGTTTTTGTTAAAAGTGTATAAAGTAGCACTTACAGGTGAAGTGAAACGCTGTTTAGGATTTGCTTCAAACAGCTTGTGTGACCCCCGTTCAGCAGCACTGATCTTACCAAAGAGCCTGCAGAAATGCAGAACTCAGGCCCCAGAAATCCCAGCCACTACAGAGCCAGAGTTTCCATTATTGTTTTCATAAATCACTACGAGGTTTATATACATATTAAGGATTGAGCAGCACTGCTCTAACTTGGGGATGGAAAAGAAATAAGCGTGGCAACTTTTAATAATTACTAAATTTTTGCGATGTGTGCATGGTGGGGTATTAAATTAAATATGCTTGATATAGTGTACATATGTATATATGTATTCAGCCCAGTGATTTGTTTTCGGTTATTGGTGTGAGACATGCCTTAGGATTAGATAAATATTACTTGGATACTTCTGTTTCTTCTTGTCTCAGATTTCCAAGCAAAAACTTACTGTGTCTGACAAAAATCACATTATTCCTTTATAATGTATGAAAGCGATTTCTTTTAATTTACAAACGTCAGTCCATTGTCAATTTCTCTGACTAGGCACGCTTGAAAAAGTCTCTCCAGAGCCTTGATGGTGCCCTGTATGATGATGACGATGACATTGAAAGAGCAAGCAAGTGAGTAAAACATCACAGGGCTCTGTTACCTGGTGTGATTTAATGGCAGTTGTAAGTTTTAGGGTATTTCGATGAATGTGCACTCCTAGAGCTCAGATTTTCTTCCCTTCAGTTTGTGTCACCAAAAGGAACCAGTGCTCCTTGGAATGTTGTGGGGAGAAAGACTCCGACAGGAAAGCAAGCCAGCCCTGCAAGCCCTTGTTCTTGGGAAGCACTGGTGTCTATAGAGATGCTGGGGCAGGAATAGAGTCCACTTCAGTGAGGCTCACACTCTCGTGCTGAGGGGGGCAGGCCAAATCCGAGCCACAGTGGTAATAATTCATTTGAAGCAAATTGAGTTGAACAAATTGAGTTAAACTTAGTGAAGTTTAGGGTAATATCTAAAAAGGAAAATTTAGTAAAAAGTGTTCAAATTAATTTTAAGTAATAATAGTAGGTATTTTATCTTCTTTATAATTTTAATATGTATGAAGATGACAAAGTGGGCATTCTTTTTTCTTCACTAAGTAAATCTGTCTATATAAAAAAGTACATCTTTAAAATGAGTAAGTAAATATGAAAAGGAAAACCATGTAACAGTATTAAAAGTGAACTTGAACTACAACAAACCAAGTATTCAGTCCAAGGTAAAGATCCCCAGACCCACAAAGTTAGGCTGGGTGAATAGCCAATCCTTTTTCTCCAAATTGCCAGGTTATCATAACTCTCTGTTTGTTTTTTCATAACACATATACTTTAAATTTCCAGTATTTGAAGTGGTAGAAACACAACTATAAAGAGTTTGGCCATGAATCAGTTACTGTTTTATTCCACTGAAATAGCATTTGGATTTTAAACATCTCATTGACTATAATTGGTGGAAGTCATTTATACGCAGCATATGTGACTATATGTCTACTATTATATGTCTTGTTTTCTTCAGGTTATCTTTTGAAGATGGTGAAGAGCCTTCTGCCTATTTTTATGAAAGTGATGATTCTGGTGAAACAAGAATGAAGACGCCTTATTCAGGTGAAATGGACTTACTAGGAGAGATCCTTGATACACTGAGCACACACAGCTCAGATCAAGGAAAACTGGCAGCTGCAAAGAGCCTGGATTTCTTTAGATCAATGGATGATATTGATTACAAACCTACGGTCAGTTGATTTTTCAACTTATTAAATGAATGCAGTTCTCCTCTTGATGTAACTGTCTGAAATTATAATCTTAGTTGGTGGAAATGTTTAACCTCTTGGTGTCCAAACTGCAAAAATATGGTAAAATGTAATTATTAAGAATTACTTGCAGTAATATGGTCATAAAATTTTCCTTTTCATATATCCAATTCTGGTAGGTTTTATCATTAATTGAAATTATTTTTGTCCAGTAGCAATATTGTCTTGAAATCAAACTTTGTAAGTTTTCTTGGGGGAATTTTAAAATATGAAATTGTCTTATTTTTTTCCTTTACTTCCAGGGCTTTTAAAAAAGTAAATATGTTTCTTCAAGTCTTTTTTTCCATTTTCTTCGAAAATGAACACTCTTTTAACAAATGGAATTGAATATTTTGCCTGCATGTGAGATAGAAGTATGAGCCATGGCAACCCCACTGGGATTATGGGAGACTCCAGAACGTTGTTAAATTACTGTGTGTGGTCTAGTTTGAATTTGGCAGGTGACGAGTATAAGGACCTGGAAACCAAAGTCCATCTAGTTTGAGTCCTCTTCATACAGCCATTTAGAGGTATCAGAAAGAAATGTCAATGCTACATTTTTTCTGGAAGAAGCTTCAGGTTCAAGCCTTGAAAGATATGAATATTGATTTCAAAATGGAAAAAATACTAGGATAATAATTTTATTAAAAGTGTTCTGAACTTGTTTCTTTTTTCAGAATAAATCCAATGCTCCTAGTGAGAATAACCTGGCCCTCTTTTGTGGTGGCTCTGGGGATCAAGCAGAGTGGAATCTCGGACAGGATGATAGTGCCCTCCATGGCAGACACCTCCCTCCTTCTCCCAAGAAGCAGGTTTCCTCTAGTGGTTTGACAGAGTCTTTGTTTATTTTGAAAGAGGAAAAGAGTGATGAACACATCAGTGCTGACAGTGTGTGTGGCTCTAAAGTGGTGGAAAACCCAGCGTCTACTTCAGGATTGAATTTCCAGCTAGCTCCCTTTGAAGTTTCCCAAACTGATAAAGGAGAAACGAAAAAGAAGGAAACACTAAGCCAGAGTTCAGATGATCTGTTTATGCCCAGTCTTGGGAGATGTCCATCTACTTTTGTTCCTTGGGAGAAAGAAGGGAAAGAAGTCAGTGAGAATTCAGAAGATCTTGGACTGCTCCATGAAGTAGTGTCATTGTATCACATGTCATCTGACTCCAGGCAAGGCGCAAGCATTTCGAAAGGAAGTGCAAATGGAAACGAAGCTTAAGTCACCAGTGAAGTATCAATCGCTTGCATCAAAACTTCCAGGAGGCATTTGGGGATTCCCTATAACCTGTATAGTTAAATAGAATTATTTGTAAGGATGACAACTCTTTATACTATTTATTTTTTTTTCATTTGGAAGAAACATTTCCCCCACTTGTTCATCTCATAGATATATGTTATCCATTGATTTTTAAATGTAAACTGAATTCTACTGTGCTATTAAATCAGGTACTAGTTTGTATGCATGTTTAAAAGATATGTTGCACATATGATTTCCCAGTAATTGGTGCTTAATGCCATTCATTTTATTTAAAATAAGCAAGCATATGTAATCCTAACACATAACCAGTAGTTACTGTGTTAATCTGGTTAAGCATGAACTGATCGACATGTCACAATGTATCAAAACTAGCCTGAAACTGATAAAACTGTTAATCCACTAATTGCCTTAATCTTATCACCCATACTTAAATAATTAAGAAATTACATATAGAGACTGAAAGAGAAGTCACTTTATTTTGCAGAGCAATAATGCCTTTTTCTACTCATCAAGTTAAGGTCAAATTTAACTTTTTTTCAAGGTTTATAGCTCTTGTGGAAATACTTGCTTTTATAAGGATACTGCAGCCATGTTTCTCAAAAAGTAAAAAAGATATAAATTTATCTTTCACTCAGTGACAAATATGAAGTGCTTAGTTGCAGTGCAAAGTTAATGACTTCTGTTTACAAGGAGACACTTAAAAATGTTTGTGGTCTCTCTCTCTGTATGCCTTTGCTCTCTGGGGTCCCCTTCCAGAAAGCCAGATGCAACACAAACTGTCCTGGCAAAATTTTTTTTGTCTCTTTTCCTTAATTAATAGTTTTATGTCAAAAATGCTTTATATTCTCTTCTCAAATTGCATTTTTAAATAACTGACTTTGTATTTTAGAAGTTTTAGACTTATGGAAAAATTGAAGAGTTAATAGAGAGCTCCATATATCCCTGCACCCAAGTTCTCTGTTCATGTTTTTTTTTTTTTTTTTGTCTTTTTCGTTTTTATCGGTACCAGGGATCGAACTCACGACGGCCTGCTTGCAAGGCAGGCGCTTATGCCGCTGAGCTAAATCCCCAGCCCCTCTGTTCATGTTTTAAATTAGTATGGTGCACTTGCCATAATTAATGAGCCAGTATTGGTAATCTGTACTTTTTTTCAGATTTCACCTGTGGAAAGTGGCAGCGTCTGTTTTCTGTTCCAGGGTACATTACATATAGTTGTCATGTCTCCTTAGTTTTCTCTTGGCTGTGGCAGTTTATTAGACTTTACTGACCTTGACAGTTTTGAGGACTATTGGTAAGATGAATTATACAGTGCCCTTCTCTTGGAGTTTGTCTAATATGTTGCTCATAAAGTAGATTTCTCACAAATGGACTTTGGGAAGAAGAGTACAATATAAACTGCTATTTTCATCACATGCTTTCAAGGGTATATACTGCCGATGTGTTTGTGAATGTTAATGTTGACTTAGATGGCCTGGCAAAGGTAATGGTTGTCAGATTTCTTTATTAGAAACTCACCACAGCCCTCTTTTCTATTGTGGTCTTTGGAATGAAGTCACTATGAGCAGCTCACACATTTCCTCTAAGGCGGGGGAATATCTAAATTATTTGGCATTATTTATGTGAAATGTATCTCCCTCATTTACTGATAAGCCTTGGAGTTCATCTGAGAAGGAGTCATATACTGATTACTTTATGATAGGTGAAACTGCCAGGAATAATCAGGAAAAAACCTAGTGAGGTTATATTAACTTAAATTTCTGTGCTCAGTTATCTATTCTCTATATCATAATCATGATTTTTTAAAAAAATCTTTTAGGAAAAGTGTTCAAGAAGCTATTCAAGAATCCCAAGAAGATTGTACCCTAAAAGTATTTACTTATGGAATGTAATTTCATTATCCTAGAAGGAGATTTGTCAAAAACATTGCTTAAAATATTTATTCAGGTCACTTTTAAAGAAAATGACTAAGTATTTTAAATACACATTCCATAATCTAAACGAATATGTTGTATTTGGGATAGTTATTGATTTACAATTATACAGGAAGATAAATACAGCTTTTATTCTGGAGTAAATTCTATATGTAAAGAAAAAAGTACATAATCTGCTTTTAAAACATGAAAGATTCAAGTTCTTATAAAATTTGACTTTATGCTCATTACAAATTCTATTATACATCAGTGAAATACAAAATAAAAAAGTCCAAGTATAAGAGCTTTTTTAAGTAATAAGGAAAAAAGGTTACCATAGTGGTCGATCTGATTGACAAGTATTCCTTCTTAATTAATGACAAGAATTCAAAATAATATCTATTACGAATTTTTAAATGCAGTTTTTTCTTTTCAGAACTGATAGTCTGAAGAATAACTTAATCCAGAGTATAATATGAACCAGGTTTGGGTTTTAGTCCATTTACTTAACAAAAACATCATGGCCATGGGCTGTCTATCTTTCAGTCATCTTCCAAAATGTTTGGCTATAATGCTGTGTTGTTTTGAGGATAGTAAGCCATTCACAGATAATGTAATTGTCTTAAAGTATTTTAAAGTGAATTGTGCCTTATTTTAAACATACAAAATTACCTATTTTACTCTGTTAAAAACAAAAGCAAAAACAAAACTGTATTATTCTTGAAAACAGTCCATAAAACTAGTAGCAATTATTAACATTTCAAACCATGTTACCGTGACTTCCCAGTATTATGATGGATATTGAGAATGAAGTGAAATTAGGGTGAGTTCCTGAGTAAACAAACAAAAGTATTATTTTCTGCCATGTTCATATTTTATGTTATAACCTAACAAGTCTTTTAAAGTTTCTAAGTTTAAATTATTTTTTCAAAGAAGCAATACCACGTGTACAAAAGGAATTGTAACTTATACAGTACCACGTGTATAAATTAAGGCTTGGTACATAGTCTTTTATATAACCGCTGAATCAGGTCATGTTTTTTCTGAATCCCTCACTAGCTATTGTTCTTCTGCCCATAAATATTGCTCCCATGGCATTTCAGGGAGATAGAGATTATTACGTACATTAAGGAGCTGTCGTTTTATTGAGTGACAATGCTGCCTAGTGGTATATTTTGATGATTACCTACTTTGGCATATCTTGTAGAGGTACCGAAATGTAGTATGATTATTTTTCCCTTGAAAATTTCATTTACAAAATATTTATAAACTTTTTGCACAAATCATGTACAAAGTATGATAACTGAAGGTTTGAGGAAATAATATAACTAGCATGATCCCTTCTCTGAAGAAATAAAAGGGATTGTAAATGTGTTGAAGTGATGATAATGATGGTATAATAATAATAATGTGCTCTGCTTACAAAGTTACTACTCTGAGATTCTATCACCAAAAAATTGTTTTTAATAGCTGTTTAATCAAACCATGCTCTAAATACAATACCATTCATAATTTCATTAATTTTCTTAGTTATTCATGAATTATAATAATGCTGCTAAGATTCACTTTTAAAGGATAGAATCAGAATCATTCAGTGTGCTGGTTTACCTGATTCTCCTTCAGATGAGCAGTCACCACAGGGCCAGCCTCCTCCTGTAGGGAAAGATGCTCCTTTTCAATACGCAGGGCACTCTGCTCAGCTTAGGAATTACTGGTACAAAACCCAATCTTTTCTTTTTAAGATTGTCATAATAATTTTCTCCAGAACCAGTCCCTTCTTTTTAAATTGAAACTGTATGTGACAATGCTGTAATTAGGATTCTATCCTAATATCTTAGTAGTAGGATTCAGGAATGCTAGTGAATTAGTTGCTTATTAATGGTGAAGAAGTAGACTTCTGATCAAGAGAAGAAAACTGTGAATATTCTTATCTATAGACCTTCATTCTCTGTTTGGATTTTCAGGAGATTAATTACTTTCATGAATAAATTTTCTAGTAAAAATTCTATTTGATTCTGAATCTGAGAAGATATTTGTAAATCAGAATATAAATTTAGAAGTGTGAAACAAATCCCAAAATTTAGTTTTCCTCAAAACACTTCTTAATATAGGAAATAAACTTTAGAAATCCTGCTATTATCAACACCTTTCCTACATCAAGCATAGTGATACTGTTAGTGAATGTTTCTTAAAGCTTCTTTAAGAGGCAGAATGGTTTTAAATAAATCAATGAACATAATGATTTGGTCAAGAAATAGGAAATTATTTAAATTTAGATAAAAATTTTATTTGAAAAATAATAGTATTTTGTGCAATATTTTTTTCTTGCATAATTTAGTTCATATTGATATACACATCTGCTTTTCAGGCAGATGCCTTAAGGTCACGTCTTTCAGTATTTGTGTAAAACTGTATGTAGTAATGTTCTGTGTGATTTTAGAAAAGAACAGTCTTTATATTATTGGAAGGAAAAATGTTTTTGTTTATTTAAAATAATTATGTATATTCCATTACTGTATTATAACTAACTGCCTCAGCAACAATAAATATGCAATAAGAAAATCTTGTACCTTAGATTAATATTGACTATACTGTTACTTTAAAAGAAATGTTTATGGTACAAAGTGCTGATTCTACACATGTACACCTAAATACTCTGTTCTGTACCACATAAATCAAAATGGCATTTGTATGGTAATGACCGTATATGTAGAGTGTAACATCCTTTATGATGTATCTTTGCTAAGTTTTATAAAGGGCGTTGCCAATACATTTAACTGTCTATAAATTAAGTTAATTTTTTGTATGATGTACAGTTTGTTTAACCTTATAGCTTCTATAGATTTTTACTTTTATTATACTTGAATGAGGCAAACGCACTGTGGAAATTTGTAGCTCTGGATGCAATATGCAAATATACCAAAAAAATAAAACCAGGTACCGAACAACAATGTTAACAGAATGCTTTATATCCAGAATGCTATGTTGTTTTCAAGTCACACTTAAATGAAGTAATTGAAGATATGCAATCTTTTATCTTAGAAGGTTGTAGAATCACAAATGATTACCTCTTTGATATGACAGACTTGTGAGTCTCTTCATTTCTGCTCATCATTGTCAGATGAGAGCCTTGATAAGGTCCATCAGTGAGTTCACCCTCTGCTTGACTATAGATGTTTAGGACAGAACAAATTGAGAACTCTGTACACATTAAACGGATTGCATGCATTCACCGTCCTTTAGCTTTCATAGATTATTTTGAAAACTACCTAATCATATAGTAAAACTAAATTTTTAGAATCTGATGATTTAGCTGTGCCTAAAACAGCAATTAATATGAACTGCAGGACTTGTACAATTTAACATGCACAAAGGTGTTTTGCATAAAAGCCACATGATGAGTTCAAAACTAAACCTTTCCAGAGCCTTTTGTTATTGTTGTTGGCTTCAGATGAAAAGGTGTTTCCAAGGACTGAAAATCTTGAACTTTTTATGCAGTATGGTAACAGATACCTGTAAAAACCTACTCAACATTGTGATTTGCTGTATTATTATTACTATTATTATTATTATTATTATTTTTGCATCCTTGAAGTTAACAGTGTAAATCATCTCCAAGGTTGACTACTAGTAGGAAGCTGTTATGTACAAAAGTATTACTTTGGAAAACTTTTAAATATACAAAATATTCAATGAACTCAGTATTCCAACTAAATAAAGTACCCAACAATGCAGTTATAAAATAAAAATTTGGTCACAATTAAATTTTTCATGGTATTTACTCTTATTTTATAATTTTATCTCTATCAGTTTATCTCTTACTGTTCTAGGTTGAATGACTGAGGACTCTTCCCATCTCTAACCCTCCAACAGCATAAATGTAAGGCTAAATCTAACAAGATGAAAGTACTTTTACTGTTAGGTCAAGTGAAGTTTTTAGGCTTTAAAAATCATGGTGAAATAGTTAAATACTGCAGTTAGTATGTCAATCATTATATCGGAGGAGTGTGCATGTCAAAAAACTGTGTGTAAGGACCCAAATATTAGGTTTGAGGACTAAGATTAAAGTCAAGTATGCATGAATAATGCGGCAGGGACCAGAAGGATGGACTTCCCATTCAAGAGTTATGTTGAAATAAATGGTTCCTTTAAGTTTCAGAAGTCCTAGGAATACTGTAACATGTGGAACTTCTCATTTTTATAGAAGCAAAGTTCCGAATCCTGCAAACCGAAGATGCAGCTGTCTCTTATTGATCTGAATTGTTAATGTCTAGCCTCCCTCTCCAGATTTTTCTCAGTACCTCCCGTGGTCTGTAAATGAGAGATAGACTCATTATACACAAGCATCTCTTCCCTACAAACAAGGCTGAATCACAGGACCTACACAGATTTCTATATAAATGAAAATACAGCATTAGTAGCATGAAAGTAAGGTGTTAAATCATGGAAGGTAAATAAAACCTTCCTCAGGTTCTGCTGTTGATTTAGGCCTACTAACTTCGCTGAAACTTTATTTCTCTGCCTTTAAAGTGTCTGTTGTTAGACTTACTAAGAATTTTATATGTAAATAACAGCTACCATATGATTTGAGGGACAGAAAATATTCCTAAGTATCCATTTGACTTTGAGTTCATGGTTATCTGATGTCTGCAACTATAAAACAATTATAAAATCTTAGATTTTTGTCTGAGCCAATGGTCCCCAAACTTAGATTTTTATTTGAGTTAACTGGAGAACTTTAAAACAAAACAGAAAAAAACATAAAAGCAGATGCTTGACTGTACTCACACAATTTCTAGAGTAAGTTCTATGATTAGTTCCTTGAATATGATAAAGGTACACAAAAGATTAGTGATACCCTTAAAATCTGATAGCATCCAATGTGCAAGCTGGGCTTTGAACCCAGCTGTTTGATTGCAGCCCTCATGCAGATACACAGAGATAAAGGACAGAACGTGAAGGCCATGTCTAATATGGCCTTTCTGTTCTGTCTCGACTATCCCCTTTCAATATTTCATAACTCTTTGACAAATCTATGCAACTTTTTTCTCTTCTCCCCTCCCCTCCCCTCCTCTCCACCTCCAACCTCCTTTCCTCCCCCTCCTCTTTTCCTCTTCTTTTTTCTTGAGTACTAAATTTCCTGGTGTCTTTTTGGAAGATTTGAATGTTTGCCTTTTCTTTTTTAAGTCTTCTTTATACTTTCGCTTCCTTTCTCAATCTTTAATTCCTTTTCAAATACTCTCTTGTATATATACACATTCTCACCACTATCTTTGTGCTCCTTCTGCATTCACCTGACTCTTTTTTGCATGTGTTGGAGAACAGAAATGGGAAGTCCCTGTTGGGTTAGCAAGATAACAAGAGTGTGGTTGGTGTCATATCTGTGTATTTTGGAAAAAAGCGAAGGTCATGAGTTTTTAAAATATGGAGCCACTCTTAGCACATCAGCAGTCCTTGCAGAATATCCACAGATACCATCTACTCTTTTTTTAGCTCATGTTCAAAAATGATCTCTAAAAGACAAACTGTTATTCTTAGATTTGTTGTTTTATAATCAAGCCTCCCTTAAATATAAAGAGTGTTTCATATATGATATTTTGGAGTAACAACCATTTAAAACACTATAATTCACAAATTACTTTTTGCAGCTCTAGTTTCTAAGAGACTCATTTGAATTGTAAAAATACATGAATAGTATTCATTCCATATTCCATTGTCCCCCCCCAATCTAGTAATTAAAGTGTATTTTAAATAAAAGCTAAGCTTTCTGAGGTTTGATAAATGGCCAAATTGGATACAATCCATTAGGCAAAATTACCAATTTGTGAAACAGATGTTAGCAGTGCTCTGCTTACGCTTACAAGTTTCCTGTATATTGATAGTGTTAGAAAAATCATTTGAATTTCTAAGCATAACAGATAGTTTAGAATTTTTTTAAAAAACTAAAAATTTAGTCACTATTAATCACAAAAGTTAAGACTGGTGATCACATATTTCAGAGGATCATTCTGTACAAAAACAGGCAATAGTCAATTGTTTTGTGGTATCAAAATTGATTTTTAGCATAAAATGATTTGAGTAAGCTAAAAGTCTTGGCCGTTTTGATGGGAAAGTTCTTACAGGGTTTTCAAGTTGTCTTTGATAGCACCTCCTACTGTTGTTTGTGTGCGTGCATGCACGTGTGCGTGTGTATGCAGAATCTTTTCATTGTGCACCTTCCACATTAACTTCCTGAAGTATAATTTACTTCTGTAAAAATTTGAAGTTTCCATATTTGAAACTATAATTCAGTGAGTAGACATATATATACACACACATGCTGTTGTAAAAATAACAAATCAAGATTTAGAATACTTATGACCCAAAAAAGTTACTTTGTCTCTTTGCAGCTATTCCTTTTTTTTTTTTTTTTTTTTTGTACCTCCTAGCTACAAGTGATCTACTTTTACTATAGTTTTGCTTTTCAAGAAATGGGTGTGAACACATTCCTGTAATCTCAGCTATGCAGAGGTAGGAGGATTTTGGGTTCAGGCCAACAGGAGCTATATATTGAGGCCGGCCAGGATTACATAGTAAGACTCAGAAATAAATTCAAAGGGAGTATCACCTAAATAGATTCCTTCAATTATCATAGTGATCTCAAAAATTTTAATTTGTCCATTCTAGTAAATGTGCCATGGTATCTCATTTTGGTTTCAATTCACATTTTTCTTATGACTGATTATGCGAATATTCAAAAGTATGTTGACAATTTATTTATCTTCCCTGAAGTAGAGTGTATACTATCTTTTACCCATATTTGCATTGAATCATTTCTCCTTTTATTACTGACTAATAAACATTTGGTTTTCTAAAAATGTTCTGAAAAATCTCTTACATATGTTTTGTAAGAATTTCTTCTAGTAAGTTACTTGCCTTTTCATTTTATTCATAATGTCTTTCCAAAGAAGTCTTTAATGTTTTGTTTATTTGTTTGTTCCCTTTTTGAGACAGGATTTCACTATGCAGTTCAGGTTAGTCTTGAACTCACTTCATAGCTCAGGCTGACCTCTGACTCCTGGCAATCCTCCTGCCTCAGCCTCCCAAGTACTGGGATTATAGGCATATACCATCAAACCTGGTTTAAAAATCTTTCATTTTGATGCAACCCAATATTATCAGTTTTTATGAAGTATATTTTTGTTACAGGGGTTTTCTTGTCATAGTTTTAGCACTGCACTTCATCAATTCTCAACTGAGTTTACTTTCTTAATGTTATAAAGTTTTTTTTCCATTTTTCTCAGAACTACTTACTAAATAGTCTACAGTATTCTGTTCTTTATTGAACATATATTGTAAATCCATTGAGCATATTTGTGTGTGCCTCTTTATGGACTCTAAACTGTTTTCCACTGATTTATATGTCCATTATTATGGTTATACTATACTATCATCATGTTTTTATACTAAGCTTTGGAATTAGGGTCAGTCCACTAATTTTTTTCTTGGGTATTGTGTTCAATATTCTAGATCTTTTATTTTGCCATGAAAACTTTCCATACTAAAAATAATTCACCGGGATTATGATTGGGATTGTATTCAATCTATAAATCAAGTTGGAAAGAATTAATATCTTAACATTATTGAGTCTTCCAGTCAGTGAACATGGCATGGCTTCCCAATTAACTCTTAATCTTTTTTCAGCAATATTATATAAGGTTCAATTTAAGAATATTTCACATATTTTGTTATTACATATTTTGATTACATATTTTGATGCTATTGTAAATGATTTCTTCTTGAAATTTCTACTTACAATTGATCCTGCTAAGAGTTTTAATTCATTAATTTCAAGACATATATATATATAGTCCAGATTATTAGAATGCCTAGGATTCATAGTATAATATTTATTTTTTATTTTATTTTAAAGGGGATAAAACAAAATGAAACCAAACCAATATAAGAGATACAGGGCTTCAAAACATTATGAAATCAACAATCATTGCCATAATACCTTTTGATGTCTTCAAATTAGCTGCAGATAACTTTGGGTATAGTAAAAATTAAACCAGAATAAAATAGAAACAATAAGAACAAAACAACGAATGCAATAAAAAACTTAAAAAGTCAATAGTAAATCCAAAATTACTACCATACTATATCTTGCTATCTTTGAAATAGCTGCTCATGCCGTAGGATTTAACATAATCACACACAAGACAGTAAAACCAGACCCAACAAAACAATGGAAATATGTAGGACTTAAAACAAGACCATAGGGAATCAACAATGGCTACAACCCTCAGAAGGAGATCCCCCCTAGATGCCACACTGTGAAGCACTGTGCTCTGAACCGATGATCAGACCACTGGACCTAGACCTATAATGTTAGTGTAACACCAAAACACCACAGGCATCCAGTTGCATTTTACCTTGATAGTTATCATCACAGCCTGTGTTTCTTTGGAAAAGCTGGTTGCTTGTGGGAGGGAGGTGGAGAAGGTTGGTGCTTCTTGTTTGCCAGGTCATGAGCCAGAAGGGGTTGCGTTTTGGTTGTTCCCAGTGTGGTGGAGACCTATGCATGGCGCTGGTTCCCAGACTCTCTATGCTTGCTGGTGTGGCCTTGTTTTCTCTTCCCACAGTTGGTGAATGGCACTGACTCATGAGGCGTGGCTTGAGTCTGGCTGTTCCCGGTCCAGCAGTGGCTTATGCATAGTTCTGGTTCCCAAACTGGCCTTGTTTACTGGTGTATAGTATAGTATTTAGAAGAAGTGATGAGAGTG